GCTAACATTACGTGTATGACCTTATTATTCGTATATCAGTGTTAGAAATTGCGTAATTCAAATCTGGTATTGGAATAAGAATCAAGAGATCTTCAATCCAAGCTAAATTTATTATATGCAAAATGTATGTATGATAAGTATGTTGGTTCGTATACGGGCTCCCTGAAATACCTCGCAGGGCAGACAGAGAACTAATCCATTGTTACAGATTATTCCTCAAATACTCTGACAGTTCTCAGTTCCCGCTCTCTGCTGGGCCTATCAGAGTAGAGACTGAGCGTGGTTTAGACTTACTCAGCCAATCCGTTGGCGCACCCCTGTTGCCAGGCATAAGTTCTTATCATAACAACCTGTCATGGTGAGAAGAGCCAGCTCCCCTAGACACCATTCCTACGTCCAAGGATGGTTCACAGATCACAAAGGACTAGTATAGTCTAGTATTTGGAGACACAAATTATTATCTTATCTTACCCCCTAAAACAGCTCTTCACATCAATCACAGCTTGCCAGGTGACACAACCTACATCAGCCCAGTCTAGAATGCATTCTTTCTAAGTTAGTCATCCCATCAATTATGAGAATAATAAATCCCCCACATCAGAGCCATTGGCTTAGCTAGCTATAGCCTAATGGTTGCTAGATTACATTGAACCTGGTTGGTTAGCTACCTGCAGATTCATGCAGGGTAGTAACGTCATGAGTCGTGATTATGGTTCATTGTTTATCTAGCTAGCTAGCTAACGTTAGCTGGCTGGCTCCCTAGCTAACGTTACGTGTATGACCTTATTATTTGTTTCTCAGAGCCATTTGCTGCATGTCTTAACAAAAGGCTCCACTATGCAAGTAACCATTTCGGGTGAGTTCGGAAATTCAGTCTGGCCATCTACTCCGATTTCAGAGCACACTCGTCTGAGTGTGCCAGAGCGCAGAATAACTAATGAATTTACGAACGCTCAACATCCGTTGAATATGGCCGGTGTCAGTAAAAGTCGGCAAAAAAGCATAATTAAATTGTTGCCAGCAGCACAGTTACAGTCACCAACGCTCTCGATAACATGAAAACAGCCTGTCCAGCTCTGCTAGGGAGAGTAAAATGGTCAGAGTGGGATGTTCTCTCATTATGTGTCTGGAAGTCGCTAGCAGCCAATGTTAGCCAGTTAGCTTGGGTGCTTGACTGCCATTGTGAGGTCAGAACGTTCGGATCAACCCTACTCATTGGCCAGAGCGTCCGGTGTGCGCTCCGAGAGCGACACGTTTTGAATTTACGAACAGACAATCTGACAGCACAGTTGCAGTCACGAACGCTCTGGATAACATAACAGCCTTACCAGCTCTGCTAGGGCGAGTAATGTTCAGTGAGCTGTTCTGTTCATTTGTGTCTGGAAGTAGCTAGCAAGTTAGCTTGGGTGCTTGACTTCTGTTGTTAGTAGAGAAAGCTCGGATCAAACCTTAAAGATATGGGTGGGGCTAAAGCTTGAGAGGGTGTGAACGATGCTGAATGGGTGTACACAAAGAAGGGCTCTAGTAGTAGTACAAAAAGATTCAAAGGCCATTTTCTGAAAAGTGAGTTTACAACTTTATCAACTTTCAAAGCAAAATTACTTTCCCATTGTTCCTCAACTATAGTGTATGATATACCATTTTGTAGTTCTGAGTCTCTACTTTTATCCAATGTAAAAAACACAATTTAAAATTATGCTACATAAGACCGATTTGAGCCTGTCGGTCACAAATGCACTTTGATGTCGATTAAGCTTAAAGCTAATTCAAGTTTCATTCTAGATCTCTCTCCAAGGCTATCTGAGAATTGTAAAAACCTGTAATTCCTACATTATCATTCAAATTAATACCAAAATCATACACCTTTTTAGTGAGTGGTTTTCTATTTTAATGTTATCCCAATAAAAAGAGAAGGTCAAATCATTTACATTATTCCTCGCTACAATAACATCCCAAAAAAAGGAATTAAAATATTTTATTTTACAGTACAAACATACAATATATGGATATTCAAATGCTAAGACAGCTAACATGCATAGCTAACATTCATATATATGGGGGGGATTATCATTGTTCCCATTTCTAACAGTCAACAAATGCTTGTCTGCGAAGGTTTCATTCTTTGTAAAAGTCGGATGCACATTTGACTTGAAAGTACCATCTCAATATCAGGAAGGTGTTGCCATAGCTCAAGTAAATTTGCAGTATGCTATGTTGTATACCAGTACCAGTATGCTAGGCTGGTTAGTTAAACATGGCATTGGCAATAAGTACTTTGTTTCTATTGGTCAGTAACCTTTTAATGCACATGGAAATCGAACCTTTGATTCCAAATTGATGGCAGTGGCAGCACAACAGTTTTGTGATGGTATAGATAGAAGATGCATGCTCTTGGTTTTCCTTGTGCAAATGTTTGTAGCTCATTCCACACAGTGTCATAGATACAGTATACTAGGAGATGAATTGCATGCACTTTAATCATAGAGCTGCATGATTGGCTATTGCTTGTTTATTGCGATATTATTACTGGTTTATTGCATTGCTATTTAATTGATTATTGATTGATAGCATTTATTGCATTGTTTATATTCTTGCATAAAAAAATATATTGTGACAGATACAGGTTGTCACCAAAACAGCATGCTAAATTCATAACATACCTACTGTTAATCTGTGTATATTTGCATAGTTACTCATCCATATTTTCAATGCAATCCATTTGTAGCTACTAGATAGTAGAAGCTTAAACCTTCACCTGATCAAAAGCTCATAACAACCCAAAATCAAACCATAAACAGAGCTTTCTAATAGTTTGTCAGAGAACGTAGTCAGTGACGTGCAGTCAGTGTAGGCAGGGTAGGCCTTGTTTACCCTGTGATAATCTAATAAAAAAAAGCTGTTATGAAAAGCCCAAAAGAAAATCATAATTTTTTGTTATCTAATGTTTTTCTCAGTGATTCTGGTGTTTTTTATGCAAAACCTCAGGAAAGGCGCCAGGGTATTCATGTCTTCCTTTCCAGCCATTCAAATCGCTGACGCTGTGGCCGTTCCTGTCTCCAGTCACTGTTAATAGACAGGGTCAGCATAGGCATCGTAAAATGCAATTTCCTTTGCAATTTGAGGGTTATTCTACTGTTGAGAATACACTACCGGTCAACTTTTAGAACACCTACTCATTCAAGGGTTTTTCTAAATTTTTACTATTTTCTACATTATAGAATAATAGTGAGACATGAAAACTATGAAATAACACATATGGAATCATGTAGTAACCAAAGAAGTGTTAAACAAATCAAAATATATTTTATATTTGAGATTCTTCAAATAGCCACCCTTTGCCTTGATGACAGCTTTGCACACATGCCGAGAGATGAATTCAGATATGTCTGCCATGTAGCCCGCTTCTGTCTATAACATTAGCTGCTCAGTATGTGTAGGTAATCCTTTCTAACGCTGCTTTTGTTAAAGATATCACAAAAGACTGCAAAAGTGTTGCTAATGCTATCCACTTTCTGGAGGACCAAGTTTTGAAATCAGTGGAATGTCTGGTGAAAGCAGAGTGATAGCTAAGGAGATGGAGAAAATTCTGGCGTTTGATTGCAAATATGCGGAGGTAGTCGAAAAGAGAACACACAGAAGGCTGTTGTGTAAAACACCTGTCTCCGGATTACATCTTCAAACTAAGAGCAACCATGGCATCAGTGACAGAGAGGGAGAAGCGTTCATCCATGTACACACATTTTCACATTTTCGTAATTTAGCAGACGCTCTTATCCAGAGCGACTTACAAATTGGGTAAGAGAGTCTAGCTAGCTACATTTTCAGATATTATATGTTTCTCATTTTGTCAGAAAGTCGTTTTTATTGCAAGTTAAAGCGTACTGTTAGCTAGCTAGCTAACGTTAGCTGGCTGGCTCGCTAGCTAACGTTACGTGTATGATCTGTGTAGTAATATTAATTTATTTATCTCAGAGCCATTTGCATTGCTAGTTATAGCCTAATGTTAGCTAGCTAGCTAACATTGAATGAACCTAGTTGGTTAGTTTTAGCTACCAGCAGATTCATCCAGGGTAGTAACGTTATGAGTTGGGATTATGGTTAATTGTTTAGCTAGCTAGCTACATGTCTAAACAAAAGACTCCACTATGCAAGTAATCATTTCACTGTACCGTTTACACCTTCTGTATCCTGTGCATGTGACAAATAAACTTAGATTTTATTTAATATAATGTGTGTTTACCAGAGACGGTAACGTGAAGAACAACATGACCTGCACCAAAGTCAAATTAGGATATAACGTTAGGCCAACGAGACAGTGTCCAAGTTCAAAAGCTCTCCAGTAGAATGCCCTGCTTTTATTTCGTCACACTCACAACCTTAAGCTATTTTCTGTAATTAGCCCGCCATTAACTTGTAAATAATTATCTTGTTGTGAGTTTATTTTCCTGTAATAAAGAATATAAATTAGTTAAAGTTAAGACGTTGTCAGCTATATGATATGGTCATTATTTGAACTGGCTAGCCAGCTAACTCAACGTTAGATAGCTAGCCAACAAGCTAGGAACGAACCAAAACATTGTTTAGAAAGTTGCTTTTAGTTGCCTGCTTTGCTAGATTGACATATACTAAATACATTTTTAAACGGATGGGTTTATTGGTGTTAAAATACACCAGTTATGCTATTTTGGACCACCAGGCTGCTGATGTCGTTTTTGTGTTTATACTTTTTCATAACAACAACAACAAGTTTGATGTCGGACAACAATAGAATGTTCATGATGTCACTGCGACAACTCTCTACAGACATGTCGATAGATGTAGTATAAACCAGCCTTTAGTCTTGAAATCTTTGGTTGTTTAGTACACTACCATACTCACTCTGTTTAGCACATGGCCTCACATGTGAATCCTTAAAGAGATGGGTGGGGCTAAGGCTTAAGAGGGTGTGAACGATTCTGAATTGGTGTAGACAAAGAAGAGGTCTCCAGTAGGTTTACCAAAACATTCAAGGGCTGTTTTCTCAAAAGTGGGGTAATAAGTTGATCAACTTTCTAAGCAGAATTACCTTCCCATTGTTCCTCAACTGTAGTGTATGATATACCATTTTCTCTACTTTTATCCAATGTAAAAAAACACAATTTCAAATGTTGATACATAAGACCGAATTGAGCCGGTCGGTCAGTCACATTTGGTGAACATTTTTGTCAATTTCGGTTAATAGCCTATGTCACTCTGGTTGTTGGCGCTATCTGTTGTATGGTGAACTTGGGCTTCATTAAGGTTTATTTGTGAGCAAATCTGGCTTTGATAATAGCCAGTGCTTACCCAGATACCGACCGCACGTCACTGCTTAAAGTGTGCCCTAAATGGCCACTAAATAAAATACCATAAAAGAGTGCTGGTGCTGCATAGTAATAAAAAAGGTGGAAGATCCTCACTTGCACAGGTTCGTCGTGTCCATATTCAAAAAGCGAATGTTCATTCTTGTCTCGATCTCAATATCTTTCAGTATCTGAAAATAAATTGTTGTTTTACTACCAGTATATTACTTAGTTACTAAACTCTGATGATGCCTTCAACTATGTGTCCTCTAATAACAAGACAACAGCAGAGGGATGGGGCTGGAGAAATGTAACCACTTAAAAATTCTAAGACAGAGCTATAGATGCAAGGGCAGACCATCCATCAGATCAGTTTTAACCATGTTTTGAAGCTATACAGTGTTTGTTTGCAATATCAGTGTTAACAAACAATGGTGTAAAACAAGCGTATATTTTAGGTTCTAATGGGGTACGCCAATTGAACTAAGTTCATGAGGCAGATATAAGTTATATTCTTCAAGAATCAATGGGTATATATCGTTACGGCTCTATTCAATCCGTATCGCGGAAGTTCAGCGTTACAGCGTGATTTAAATTTAAAGGCAATATTCCCGCGTTAGCGGAGACTGCATTCACGGTAAACACCGCATATGTCGGCTCAATCAGAAATTACCTTTACATTTATATCACACAATCTGCAACACTCCAGTGATACAGATTGAATAGAGCCTTAAATTTAAAAGTCAAATTGTTTCTTTTGAATCACAGATGTTCCCTTTAAAGAACAACGATGATTCAATGGGCTCTCCAGGAGGCTCACTTAAATAATCTATACTTATTATTTTTATAGTAAAAACATTTGAAAAAAGAAAAGCTAAAGCCATGACTTTTTCTTAGACACAACATAATGTTTTATTACAAACCTTTAGGAAATGTTCAAAAGTGATCCCCTCGTAAAACTCATCTGGTTCCTGAGAATGAAGAATGAGATTATTGAATATAATAAAAAAAAATAAAAAAACATAATAGTTGGATGTCTTTATAGTAGATGGTTCCAGATCTAACACTCAGAGTGAGGAATAAAATGTTTATAAAGCAGCCGTACCATGTGACCCACGGAGATACTGGCTACCTCCAGCATGGCAGCGTCTGCTATACCTTTAGCCGTTTCCTTCCCCAGGGCTCCGCTCCGAGACAGCAGCTCCTCCACTACCTACAGTACATACAGAGGCAAGGCAGTCATGGTAACAACAGTGATAGGTAGATAGAGTATTTTTGTATTTTGAAAGACAGGGCTGGGCAGTGGCTTACATGTCGGTACTCCTCCAGAGTGATTGTTCCATCGTTGTCTGTGTCGTGCATGTTAAACAGGACTGGGAAAAAATAAGAAAGTGTTCAACTTAAACTATTTTCTATCGGTCTGTCTTTACAAATATTTCCTTACCAAAGATCTGCAAGTGTCATGAGGCATCACTGTAATGTATTTGCTGAGTAATGCTGTATATTGAGATATATTGTTTATTGTTTATTTATTTAGCTTTTGCAGCAGCAGCAGCTACTTTTCCTGGGGTCCACAAAAAACACAAAACATGACAAGTAACAAAACACTGATACACTGTGAGGAAAAATATATAGTCTGGAGGGACAGCCTTGAATTGTACATCTTGTATCATACAATCATTGGTTCCTGTAGGTGCTGGGTAGAGATATGAGGGGGAGACGGTCATGACCCCCTCCTCAGACCTTTTGGCAGAACGCCCAGAATATGTTCTATAAGTTAAGATAGGAGACGGTGCCAGTCACATGCAGGAACCAACCCTATGAATCATACCTATGTAGCTTGTCTGTGTAAGCAGTATATAAGAGAACTAACGGGACTGCCCCGGCAGAGCTCACTTCAGACCGGTACTTTATGCATCTATGTTTGACTGTAACCTCTCCAGCTTGCTGACAATAAAGAGTGATTCATTTAATATTGACTTTGAGTGTCCCTGTGTTGAATTTCCATGACAACTGATAGACAAGGACAGTCACACAAATTTAAAATACAACGCTATACAAACAATACAACAACAAAAATTATACAAACAATACAACGACTAAATAATGTGCGTGTTTCTGTGTGTGCGTGTATGCCCTCACAGTCCCTATTGTTCCATGAGAAGTTGTTTAATCCATTTTGTAAAGGTAATTTTTAATAAAGATCTGTTGTATCCCAGCAGAAAGTTGACAGATAATTGAGTCTAGTATTGATTCAAGTCACAGTGTGAGCCATTGTACACATCAAACGGTATACAGTATCTTGTACAACCGATGTTTTCAATGTCATTGTAGTAAGTACACAAGCTAACAATAATGTTGGGTATCCATTTCAACATAGTGTAACATTTTGCCAGTGATACTGTACTGCAATACATCTATCTTAACGCCAGTCCATGCAGAACATTTTAATGATGGCACTCACAGCGGAGTTTTTCCCTCCTGATGTTCTCTCTCTGTTCCTCTGTCATGTTCAGTGCTGGAGGTCTGAAGTGGGACATGACCACCAGGAACTCCTCAAAGCTGATCTCCTGGACTGTCCCCTCACCATTCTGATGGAAGTTTCTATAGAGGCATACGAGCAAAGAACATAAATATCTTCATTGAGTGGACAGATGAGGTCATTGCATGTTTTCTGTATTGCTCATTAGAAAGTAACCATGTCTCATTCTAGAAACAACCCATAGGCCCTACATCCTAGGCACTTCCCATAAATGTGAAAGAAATTGATACTGTATACAATATGGTAGTAGCTCCAACTTGCCTATTGATATCTTAGGTTGTATGACTGCCATATAGAGTATACAGTGGGGAGAACAAGTATTTGATACACTGCCGATTTTGCAGGTTTTCCTACTTAAAGCATGTAGAGGTCTGGCATTTTTATCATAGGTACACTTCAACTGCGAGAGATGGAATCTAAAACAAAAATCCAGAAAATCACAATGTATGATTTTTAAGTAATTAATTTGCATTTTATTGCATGACATAAGTATTTGATACATCAGAAAAGCAGAACTTAATATTTGGTACATAAACTTTTGTTTGCAATTACAGAGATCATACGTTTCCTGTAGGTCTTGAACAGGTTTGCACACACTGCAGCAGGGATTTTGGCCCACTCCTCCATACAGACCTTCTCCAGATCCTTCAGGTTTCGGGGCTGTCGCTGGGCAATACGGACTTTCAGCCCCCTCCAAAGATTTTCTATTGGGTTCAGGTCTGGAGACTGGCTAGGCCACTCCAGGACCTTGAGATGCTTCTTACAGAGCCACTCCTTAGTTGCCCTGGCTGTGTGTTTCGGGTCGTTGTCATGCTGGAAGACCCAGCCACGACCCATCTTCAATGCTCTTACTGAGGGAAGGAGGTTGTTGGCCAAGATCTTGCGATACATGGCCCCATCCATCCTCCCCTCAATACGGTGCAGTCGACCTGTCCCCTTTGCAGAAAAGCATCCCCAAAGAATGATGTTTCCACCTCCATGCTTCACGGTTGGGATGGTGTTCTTGGGGTTGTACTCATCCTTCTTCTTCCTCCAAACACGGCGAGTGGAGTTTAGACCAAAAAGCTCTATTTTTGTCTCATCAGACCACATGACCTTCTCCCATTCTTCCTCTGGATCATCCAGATGGTCATTGGCAAACTTCAGACGGGCCTGGACATGCGGTGGCTTGAGCAGGGGGACCTTGCGTGCGCTGCAGGATTTCAATCCATGACGGCGTAGTGTGTTACTAATGGTTTTCTTTGAGACTGTGGTCCCAGCTCTCTTCAGGTCATTGACCAGGTCCTGCCGTGTAGTTCTGGTCTGATCCCTCACCTTCCTCATGATCATTGATGGCCCATGAGGTGAGATCTTGCATGGAGCCCCAGACCGAGGGTCATTGACCGTCATCTTGAACTTCTTCCATTTTCTAATAATTGCGCCAACAGTTGTTGCCTTCTCACCAAGCTGCTTGCCTATTGTCCTGTAGCCCATCCCAGCCTTGTGCAGGTCTACAATTTTATCCCTGATGTCCTTACACAGCTCTCTGGTCTTGGCCATTGTGGAGAGGTTGGAGTCTGTTTGATTGAGTGTGTAGACAGGTGTCTTTTATACAGGTAACGAGTTCAAACAGGTGCAGTTAATACAGGTAATGAGTGGAGAACAGGAGGGCTTCTTAAAGAAAAACTAACAGGTCTGTGAGAGACGGAATTCTTACTGGTTGGTAGGTGATCAAATACTTATGTCATGCAATAAAATGCAAATTAATTACTTAAAAATTATACAATGTGATTTTCTGGATTTTTTTTTTAGATTCCGTCTCTCACAGTTGAAGTGTACCTAGGATAAAAATGACAGACCTCTACATGCTTTGTAAGTAGGAAAACCTGCAAAATCGGCAGTGTAGTATCAAATACTTGCTCTCCCCACTGTACATATTCAACCCTTTCCGATCTACACAAATGCTAGCGGGTAGGGGCTAAAGGCTAGGGGTTGTTTCTGGATCAGGCTCACATTTGACTAATCCCTGTGAGGCACCACCAAACCTACTGTATAATGAAAATCATACTATGTAGGTTAAAGCTAGGGGCATCTTGAGAGCAGTTAACCTTTAGTCTTGTTCTTTTTGAGGTACTTAACAGAAACACGATAACCAACCTTTTGTCAAAGAAGGCCTCTATAATTTGGGTTCGGATCGGATTGCATGCCAGGTCTGGAATTGTGTTGAGGTCATCTCGTCTACAGGTGAAAAGACAAGAAGATGATTAGGTTTGCAGCAGGAAGCTGGCCAATTATAATACATGCTAAACAAAATGCAAAACAAAAGCCTAAACAAAAGCTGTTAGGCTTGTTTATGCTAAAGAAATGGGAAGAACCACCTAATCAGAAATTGATTATGCCAGGATTACACCCATGTGTGTCTAAAAACCCCAAAGTAACAAAGTACAACAGCACAAGTTAAAAAATAAAGTGTGTTAGAATGCCAAAAATAATTAGGGAGTTCTACCTCAGCGTGTCTTCATTGTGGCTCAACTGCTTGAATCTTTTGTGAAGGATTCCAATTTGCTCGAAGGAAACTGAGGAACAAAAAAGGGACTGTCATGAGTCCAAGACAGAGCGGTACATCCTGCCAGCCTACCACAGCAGGTTACAGACCTAGATGGATGGAAGAGAAATCATGTGCATCTTCAAGAGGCATCTCCAATTAGCAAAATGCCAGGCAGCACATCAGTTACCACTGAATGGGCAGGAAACCATGACAAACTGCAGAGTAATGCTGTTAATGGAACTCAATTGTTTTTTAACCTTTGCAAATACAATTTATGTTTGTGTCCTGTTCTTATCTCTAATTGATCATTTAGGCTGCCTGATTTGATATCCTCAGACCTAACACATTATATACTCGGTGTAAGCAGAGAGCAGTGCTGAATGTTTATATATTTTCAGTTGATGGCATCTTTCCTCATATGAAAAGTGGATTTGTATATTCAGATGTAAAAACTATTTCACTTTGCATTCTCTCATTGTCTATGTGAGTGCATAGAATTTAGAGAAATACATTGTTTTTAAAAGTTTATTTCTAATATAACTTAAATAAACTGTATATTACATGTAGTCTGAAATAAAAAAAAACTGGTTCTGTCTGAACAACATGTCACACCCTGATCTGTTTCACCTGTCTTTGTGCTTGTCCCGTCAAGTCCTACCAGCATATTCCCGTGTTTCCAGTGCTCTAGTTTTTGTTTTTCCCAGTCTTCACCGTTCTGACCTTTCTGCCTGTCCTGACCCTGATCCTGCCTGCTGTCATGTACCTGCCTGACTCTGATTTGGCTTATGACTCTGCCTGCCTTGACTTACCGATTGCCTGCCCCTTGTACTGTAATAAACTCTGAGACTTGTACTATCCGCCTCCTGTGTCTGCATCTGGGTTTTAGCCTGAGCTGTGATACAACAGGGATAAGCTCAAAGTATTCAAATTCATTCAAACAAGGACTAACAATCGCCACAATATTTGAATTGAGAGCGAGTGAGTGTGTGTGAGTGAGTGTGTGAGTGAGTGAGTGAGTGAGTGAATGAGTGAGTGAGTGAGTGAGTGAGTGAGTGAGTGAGTGAGAGAGTGAGTGAGTGAGTGACTGACTGACTGACTGACTGACTGACTGAATGAGTGAGTGAGACAAAAGTGGGTGAGTGAGTGTTTTTCAGTGTGTACAAACAATACATTCCTCAGGTTATTGTATAGGCAAACTAGTATGTGAAGAGCTAATATTGGATTACCAGTGGTATGAGGAAACTCACTGAGGGTGGGGATTTCAGACAATGTTAGAGACAGAGATAAAAACAACTCTCTGTTCATGGCCTCATTGCTTGCATGTTTTTCTGAAGCTATACACACAATGTCTAATCTATTATTCATGGTGGTTCAGTCAAGCCTACACTGTAAACTTACATAAGATACCTGGAGAAAAAAGTTGCTACTCCACATGCAATTTGCAGTTTGAATATTTTATAGCCACTGCATGGAGATACAGTACTTGGCCTACACTAGTGTCTTTCTATCATCATGTCAGAATACAGCCTTTAAACAAATATAGGAGATTCATCTGGTCTAATACTATTACCAAGTCTTATTTCCAAGGACATTCCATAGTTGGTGAAACAGTCTTCTCCTTGTTCTGCTTTTAATTTAGACATGGTAGTGTGATAGAATGAAATGTGCCTTAGTACCATAACGAATACAATAATACAGTATCATAATGTGTACCAGCAAGCAATATGCTAATCATTTAATGGTATATGAATGTTGATAATACGATCTGTTTGCTCTAGTGATGTCTGTTTGTGCTGAGTTTGATTGGTTATGCCTAGGAATTCCTATAGGGGCAGGAGAGGCTATATGGACACGCCTGGTGCCCAAATTGATGATAACATACAAATCAAATCAAAACAAATGTAATTGCCACATGCGCCGAATACAACAGGTGTAGACCTTACAGTGAAATGCTTATTTACAAGCCCTTAACCAACAATGCATTTTAAGAAAATAAAAAAAAGTACGCAAATAGTCCGGGTAGCCATGATTAGCTGTTCAGGAGTCTAATGGCTTGGGGGTAGAAGCTGTTAAGAAGCCTTTTGGACCTAGACTTGGCGCTCCGGTACCGCTTGCCGTGCGGTAGCAGAGAGAACAGTCTATGACTAGGGTGGCTGGAGTCTTTGACAATTTTTAGGGCCTTCCTCTGACACCGCCTGGTATAGAGGTCCTGGATGGCAGGTAGCTTGGCCCCAGTGATGTACTGGGCCGTACGCACTACCCTCTGTAGTGCCTTGCAGTCAGAGGCCGAGCAGTTGCCATACCAGGCGGTAATACAACCAGACAGGATGCTCTCGATGGTGCAGCTGTATAACTTTTTGAGGATCTGAGGACCCATGCCAAATCTTTTCAGTCTCCTGAAGGGGAATAGGCTTTATCGTGCCCTCTTCACGACTGTCTTGGTGTGTTTGGACCATGATAGTTTGTTGGTGATGTGGACACCAAGGAACTTGAAGCTCTCAACCTGTTCCACTACAGCCCCATCGATGAGAATGGGGGCGTGCTCAGTCCTCTTTTTTTCCCTGTAGTCCACAATCATCTCCTTTGTCTTGATCACGTTGAGGGAGGTTGTTATCCTGGCACCACACGGCCAGGTCTCTGACCTCCTCCATATAGGCTGTCTCATTGTTGTCGATGATCACTGAGTGTACTAAACATTAGGAACACCTGTCTTTCCATGACAAAGACTGACCAGGTGAATCCAGGTGAAAGCTATGATCCCTTAGTGATGTCACCTGTTAAATCCACTTCAATCAGTGTAGATGAAGGGGAAGAGACAGGTTAAAGAATGATTTTTAAGCCTTGAGACATGGATTGTGTATGTGTGCCATTCAGAGGGTGAATGGGCAAGGCAAAATATTTAAGCCCCTTTGAACAGGGTATGGTAGTAGGTGCCAGGCGCACCGGTTTGAGTGTGTCAAGAACTGCAACGCTGCCGGGTTTTTCACACTCAACAGTTTCCTGTGTGTATCAAGAATGGTCCACCACCCAAAGGTCATCCAGCCAACTGTGGGAAGCATTGGACTCAATATTTACATTTTAGTCATTTAGCAGACGCTCTTATCCAGAGCGACTTACAGTTAGTGAGTGCATACATTTTTCATACTGGCCCCCCGTGGGAATCGAACACACAACCCTGGCATTGCAAGCGCCATGCTCTACCAACTGAGCTAATATGAGCCAGCATCCCTGTGGAACGCTTTCAACACTTTGTAGAGTCCATGCCCAACGAATTGAGGCTGTTCTTAGGGCAAAAGGGGGTGCAACTCAATATTAAGAAGGTGTTCCGAATGTTTATACACTCAAAGTATGTCGCGCAGCTGAGAGTCGAGTGGAGCTGAATGGATTTGGTTCAGTCGTCCTGATGAGCCCTTCCCGGATAGCTACACTGAACTAAAATATAAACGCAACATAAAGTGTTGGTCCCATGTTTCATGAGCTGAAATAAAAGATCCCAGAAATGTTCCATACGCACAAAAAGCGTATTTCTCTCATATTTTGTGCAAAAAAATTGTTTACATCCCTGTTAGTGAGCATTTCTCCTTTGCCAAGATAATCCATCCACCTGACAGGTGTAGCATATCAAGAAGCTGATTAAGTTTTGAGGGAGCGTGCAATTTGCATGCTGACTGCAGGAATGTCCACCAGAGCTGTTGCGAGATAATTGAATGTTAATTTCTCTACCATAAGCCGCCTCCAACGCTGTTTTAGAGAATTTGGCAGTCCGTTCAACCGGCCTCACAACCGCAGACCATTTGTATGGCGTTGTATGGGCGAGTGGTTTGCTGATGTCAACGTTGCAAACAGAGTGCTCCATGGTGGCGGTGGGGTTATGGAATGGGCAGACATAAGATACGGACAACAAACACAGTTGCATTTTATCGCTGGAAATGTTAATGCACAGAGATACCGTGACGAGATCTTGAGGCCCATTGTCGTGCCATTCATCCGCCGCAATCACCTCATGTTTCACCATGATAATGCACAGCCCCATGTTGCAAGGATCTGTACACAATTCCTGGAAGCTGAAAATGTCCCAGTTCTACCATGGTCTGCATACACATCAGACATGTCACCCATTGACTCTGAATCAATGTGTAGGACAGCGTGTTCCAGTTCCCGCCAATATCCAGCAACTGAAGAGGAGTGGGACAACATTCCACAGGCCACAATCAACAGCCTGGTCAACTCTATGCAAAGGAGATGTGTTGCGCTGCATGAGGCAAATTGTGGTCACAACAGATACTAACTGGTTTTCAGATCTACGCGCCTAACAACAGAGGCATATCTGTATTCCCAGTCATGTGAAATCCATAGATTAGGGCCTGATTATTTTATTTCAATTGACTGAGGAACCTGTAACTCAGTAAAATATTTGAAATTGTTGCATTTTGCGTTTATATTTTTGTTCAGGATAGTTTATGCTGGCAACAACAGCAGCATGGCACTAGTTAAAATAAAATGATGTTAATTTCAATGGGAGAAATAACTTGTAGTATTGGTCACCTTGACCTGCCAATTAGCTAACGTAACGAAAAGCCGACGCGAATGACCAGTGCAACGGTGTATCAAGGTGCTTGCCGACGTGGCGGTAGCTAACGTGGCCAATTTGTTCCATCCCACTTGATATTATTTTGAATAGGATAGCAGCCTACACGAGAAATAACTTGTAATATTGCATAGTAACCATCTGGATGTCACCGTGATACAGTCTAACTACAATGGGGAGAGTTTGCGCTGCAAGCCGGCAACACAACAACACGGGGCACAGTGTCCTTCGCTCCCGCTTGTCAAGAACTGCTATCCGGCAGTAATGTGAGGGGAAGTAGCTAGATAGTGTAGCCAATATAAGGCCAGGGTGAGAGCTAAAGGACATTTATTGTAGTGATTTTCACTGAAAATGTACAACTACGGCATTAACGTCTACATTTTAGTTGATAAAAACTGAAGAATTACTCCGATTAAAAACGGAATGGTTCTGAACACTCT